CTACAATTTGTTTCGATGGTAAATTAGTACTTGCGCATGCCAGGGAGTCAAACTTGCAATCATTTTGATTGTAGGCAACCCTAGAGATAGAGAGCCGTTAAGTGTCTTGTCAACCAATGATTGTTGTTCTTGGCATTTGCTACCGCTCAGACCACTTTCCGACTGCGTCCACTTCTTTCGGAGAGCGAATAAGGACAGGAGGTAATAAACACATTCCTTTTGACATAGCGAAATAGTGCACTGCTCTGACAGTTCTCATTCCATTTCGCACCGATTCTACCATCTGTGTTTACAGCTCAGGGATGAAACCCAGGCAGGTTACCAAGTCATTGTACACACAAGCTTGCCTATACGGGAGATCTAGATGGCACTTCTAGTGTTTTCATTAATTATCAAAATTCGACTGTGTTCCTCTCCATGGTGGGCCAGCAACGCCAAACAATCTGCATACGTTAACGCATAGACGATTTCAGGCCCCCTTCTTCTTCCGGCCTCCTAGTCAGGGATATTCATTGTTTATATCTTTAAAATCTTTGTAACACCGACAGTTTATAACTTATAATTGGTCATTCAGGAACACCACACACTGTAATACAGAAGATATTAAATTAGGTCGACAAGACGCAGCTCTGTTTTACCGGTCTCCCAAGATCGGGAATTTTGAAAATCTGGAATCTTATAAATTTTGGAAGAATCGAACTTGATATCATCCTTCTCTGTTCAGGGAAGCTGAATGAAATATGGCTTTTACAGATTGTTGCCCATGCTTCAACAGTGGATCTGGCGATTGGAGCGTTCCGAGATCCGCCACGTACAATACATACGCATGAGCTGAACAACGCCTTTAGCTGCTATCCGCACTGTTGTACCGCAATTATCGAACGCTCACCGGATGGTCGTTGGGAGTACCACGAAGGTGCCCTGCCACATATCACGGACAAGAAACTCTGCAGCAAAATCGACAGAAATTTTGCATATAGAAGTGACAGCGCTGCAATGAAAGAGACTGTGGCCACGGGAGAAGGACACTCCGGTTCTCATTCCCCTTGAAGAAGATGATGAAGACGCGTTCTTGAAAACCAATAAAACTGATTCACACATTGTCAAACTCTC